CAACACTGAGGGTTGCAATCCCGTCGCCGGTCCCCGGTCCGGTACGGGGGCAACACTGAGGGTTGCGATCCGTTGCCGGACACGGAAAAAGACAAAAAAAAAAAAAAAAAAGATAATTCTCCCTATCTTTGGAAAAACAAGGTGAAAGAGGAAGGAATGATGTTTTCTAATTCTACACATCTTTTTGACCTCTTTTCTCCTCCCCACAAAGTCTAGTATTCCATGAAAATTATCTAACATGCAGAGTAGTCCCTTAATCCAAGAAAGCCTTGGAACCACTTGCAGTTACCTTTATTTAATTTTCCCAGATAAAGTTCTAATATTCAAGAAAGAAGAGTTGGTTTAAGTTGCCTCAGATCCTTAAGGGAATGAGGTACAGGATATAAATTCAAAGTACTGTATTCTAAATTACTTCACTGGTTACAACACTGGAATGAATTCCCCTTTAAGGCCTTGATATATTTGTAAAAAAATGTAAAAAAAATACGCATATTTATAACCAGAAATAGCTATAATATTGTACCTGCAGAGTTTAGTGCCTCAATAGTGTAATTTATAATTATAACCTGTTCTGATTTCTTTTCAAATATTAGGTGTCCTAGTTGCCTATGAAGGTTTGCCACTTCATCTTGCACTGTTCCCCAAACTTTGGACTGAGCTATGCCAGACTCAGGTAAAGAGCATGAGTTTTAGATGATTTGGTCTTTTATCTCATCTGACCAAGTAGTCAGTAATTTTAGGAACAATGGGTTGAAAATTAACTGGCTGAAAATAGGGGATATTTTAGAATCTTGATAGGTAAAACATGGTTAATGGAAATATTAGCTATTAAACATTGGGCATCTAGTTTCCCTTAGAGTTTTTTCTTTACTTCAGTAGATTGTATCACAAGGATATTTCAGATAAGCTGTTTATAACTGAATTTCTTGTTTATAGGTCAATATTAACATTTGTGGGCAAAATCCAAAACAGGGAGACATTGGGGGAAAGAAGGCACATGCCACTATAATAATGCTTGTTAAATTATAAAGGAAGAACTGGGAAGAGAGGGGAAGAAGCAAGATCACTCTTAAGATTTGCCTTATTCCTTGGATCAGGCATAAAGCATCGTTATTCCTTTTAAACCCCTGAAAAAACTTAATTTCCTGCCTGGTTGCATCTGCCCTACCCCTGAAGAAGAGATGAGTTTGCTAACCTTCCTTGGGCACAAACCTTTACCCACAATGTAGTTTCTGAAAGTACTTTGTGTCTGGTCCAGCCTCCTACCAGGCAGAAGTGCTCTGTACATTTTCCTATTAGATGGGTGTCACATTGAACTATAATAGTTATGCTTCTCTATCTCCTTTTTCCAAAATGTTAGCTCCTCAAGTATAGAGACCTTACCTGAGTCATCCCTATTACCTGAAATGTTACTTTTTCTACAGTAGGAATCGTTGATCTCATTTAGCTCACATGACTTAGTACTTGGCAGGCCTTCAGAAAATGACTTACTGGTTGATTTTGAGCTGAGTGATCTGTTCAGAAAAAAGCATATTCCTGCTTTTTTCCCCTCTCTGCTGCTGCTCTTGTTCTTTTCATTCTTCCCAGTTTGGGTATTTGCTTTGGTTTCTGTACTCGGCCACCACCTATTGCTGCATCTACTTCTGCACTCCACACTTCCTTTGCTTGGCTTCTTTTCAAAGAATTCACCATCCCCCCAGATTTCCCTTAAAACAAAGCCAAACTATTTAAGGCTTCCAATGCCTTCAGCATATAGAGGCAGCCATCCCATGTAAAAAGCACAGGTAGCAGGCAGAAGGTGTGACTGGCAGACTAAGGCCAGTTGAAAGGCAGATTTTCCTGGTGCTAAGGATCTGAAGACGTGGGTTCTGGTCCTACTCAGTTCCTATCATGGGTGACCTTACTTTAATAAAACATTTTAGTATGCACATGTATATATTATCTAAAATTTGTCTTATGTTTTAAAAAGTCCTTTTCCATATAAATAAATGATCTCTGATTAATACACATATAAATAATCTAGGGAGGATATCTGCTTAAAGACATACTACTTGTGTTTAAGAGCCATGACCATTTGAAAACAGGAAAACCAAATTCTAGTAAAATTTCCATATATTGGGACCCACTAATTCTGTGTGATATAATTAGGAAAAGAGGTTTGCTGTTTACTTTTGCAGTGTTTATGGGGAGGAAAAGGTATTTACCAAACATTTTTTATTGTTAAAGAGATCATACAGTGAAGTTTAAACCGTTTGAGAATAAATTTATTTTAACTCATAAAGTTTGTCTTTTCTCTATATGTGGTTTGGTTACCTATTAATTATCTGCTAATTGGTCCCCTAAAAACATTCTCATACTATCCTTTATTAGCCTTATTTTTCCAGTTCTTGTCAACTCTCTCAACGCTGGATAATAAACCTGCTTTTCTTTTAAAACATTTTTGTTCAGTTTTGCCATTCAGGATCATCCCCAGCACTCACCCAGAGTCCAAATTAGTAATATTTTAATCTATTGGGAGGACACTTGCTATAAGTAATAGTTTGTCTTAGTTAGAAGTGGCTTTCAAGTAGGATTTTAAAAATGACTTCAGATGTCCGTCATACACAGTGTGTTTTAAGTCCCCAGTTATTTCATTGCTCAACCATCAGTGCTTCTTCTCCCCACTTTAGTCTGCTATGTCAAAAAATTGCATCAAGCTTTTGTGTGAAGATCCCGTTTTCGCAGAATATATTAAATGTATCCTAATGGATGAAAGAACTTTTCTAAACAACAATATTGTCTACACATTCATGACACATTTCCTTCTAAAGGTATGTACTTCTTTGGAAACTCATTGTGTTGCTTCCGATTAGTTGATGGCTGTGTTTTCATTATGTTGGTCTTTTGGAGATTTTTTTTTTAAATCTTCTTTTTTAGGTTCAAAGTCAAGTGTTTTCTGAAGCAAACTGTGCCAATTTGATCAGCACCCTTATTACAAACTTGATAAACCAGTACCAGAACCTACAATCTGATTTCACCAACCGAGTTGAAATTTCCAAAGCAAGTGCTTCTTTGAATGGGGTAAGAACCGTGCAAAGGAGTAGGCACATACTTCTAAACTTTCCTCAAATCAACTGTTTGGCCTTCAATGATTTTACTAACTTAGCTTTAACTTACTATTCAAACTCTAAAAGTTATGTATGATTAAAAAAAAAATTTTAAATGTGTGTTCACTATGCCTTGTATGTATATAGTACTCACCTTCTACATCTTAGAAGTCATCAGCTAATGTCATTAAATGCTAAGGGCAATAAGACTGCTAAGAGACATTCCCTTTATCTCTACCTGTTTATATTTTTGGAATCATTAGTTATGTTTCTGTTATTGTCTATGCCTCTAAGTAACTGAAACAATCAGATTAATGATCTATTGATTATAAAGTTCAAACTAGAGTTAGTTGTATTGTATAGACTACCATGATAGCCATGTCATATAATGACAGAATTCCCTAGAAACGTGCTAAAACATTGTTCAGCAGCAGCCTCCCAAGTAACAAGATGCTTACAAGCCAGAACAGATTACAAAGCTAAGTGAGGAAGACTTTACTATTTGTGGCATCCATCAGAAATTACCTTGAGAAACTGATTTTTGTATTAGTAAGACCTAAATTTCTCATGGATCATTCAAGGTGTTTTTAAAGTCTGTTTAGTTCTAGTGTAAGTCTTCTTTCTTTTTTTTCCCTTTCCCATTTTCAGAAAGCACTATTTGAGTCTTTGGTCTGACTTGTGGGCATAAGTGACTTAGAACTAATGAAATACAGTAGTATAATGCCGGCTTTCTGGTTTTAGCATTTTTATTATAAAAATGCCAGAGAAACCAAGATAGATTCCTGGGCAAGTAAACATCTGCATTTAATTGTAAACAGTGGTGTCAAAATGTTGGCTTAAGAATTTAAGATGTTCTTATCTGGGTTTTTTTTATAGGACCTGAGGGCACTCGCTTTGCTCCTGTCAGTACACACTCCCAAACAATTAAACCCAGCTCTAATTCCAACTCTGCAAGAGCTTTTAAGCAAATGCAAGACTTGTCTGCAACAGAGAAACTCACTCCAAGAGCAAGAAGCCAAAGAAAGAAAAACTAAAGGTTAGCCTTATGGACAAATATCATTACCTTTGCGGGTGGAAGGGAAGATATACTTGATGTAACTTTATAAATAGCTGCAGGTTCAGTTGAACCTCCTAAATATAAATGCTAAAAACAAAATTGATTTCCCACAACCACCCCCAATGTGATCTTAATGACTCCTTTTCAGAGAAGTTTCCATTTTGATATTTACACAGATGATGAAGGGGCGACTCCTATTAAAAGGCGGCGTGTGAGCAGTGATGAGGAGCAGGCTGTAGACAGCTGCATCAGCGACATGAAAACAGAAACCAGGGAGGTCCTGACCCCAACTAGCACTTCAGACAATGAGACAAGAGACTCCTCAATTATCGATCCAGGAACTGAACAAGATCTTCCTTCCCCTGAAAATAGTTCTGTTAAAGAATACCAAATGGAAGTTCCATCTTCGTTTTCAGAAGACATGTCAAATACCAGGTCACAGCATGCAGAAGAACAGTCCAACAATGGTAGATTTGAAGATTGTAAAGAATTTAAAGACCTCCACTGTTCCAAGGATTCTACCCTGGCTGAGGAAGAATCCGAGTTCCCTTCTACTTCTATCTCTGCAGTTCTGTCTGACTTAGCTGACTTGAGAAGCTGTGATGGTCAAGCTTTGCCTTCCCAGGACCCTGAAGCTGCTTTATCACTCAGTTGTGGCCATTCCAGAGGACTCTTTAGTCACATGCAGCAGCACGACATTTTGGATACCCTGTGTAGGACCATTGAATCTACAATCCATGTGGTCACAAGGATATCTGGCAAAGGAAACCAAGCTGCTTCTTGACATTAGATGTAGCATGTCTACTTTTAAGTCCCCTCCCACGCTGTTTGTATAAGTTTTGCTTATTTGTTTTTGTGCTTCAGTTTGTCCAGTGCTCTCTGCTTGAATGGCAAGATAGATTTATAGGCTTAATTCTTGGTCAGGCAGAACTCCAGATGAAAAAACTTGCATCTTCAGTATACTTTCTAAAGGGCAATCAGATAATGGATATGTTTTATGTAATTAAGAGTTCACTGTAGTGGCTTTCATTTAATATGGCTGTCTGGGAAGAACAGGGTTCCCTGGCCCTGTACAATGTAATTTAAACTTACAGCATTTTTACTGTGTATAATATGGTGTCCTCTGTGCCAGTTTTGTACCTTATAATAGAGGCAGATTGCCTCCGATCGCTGTGGTTCTTATTATCAAAATTAAGTTTACTTGTATACGGAACAACCACAAGAAATTTGATTCTGTAAAGAATCCTCTTTAGCTGTGGCCTGGCAGTATATAATGGTGCTTTATTTAACAGAATACCTGTGGAGGAAATAAAGCACACTTGATGTAAAAATAATTGTTTTATTTTTATTGACATGACTGATTGCTATTCTGTGCACTTAATTAAACTGATTGTGATGACTTTTTATTTGTTTACATACGTTGCTTCAGTCTCCTCAGATGAAAGTAGAAAGTAATGAGAAAACCATGAGGGGGGGGGGGGGGGGCAGGAAAGCACTGATAATTATCCATTATATTCTATTTCATGAGAACTTAGCCCCATACACTTCTCAGTCCAAGTGCACAACTGCTGCAGTGCCAACCAAGGATGGCAGAGAGGTGTAACAATACAGCCCACTAGCCCGCACTTCAACATGCTTTTGAATACAACATACCATTGTTTTACTACCTAAGACTAAAACCCCTAAAGTAAAATAAAGGAATAGTAATAACGTGCCATTTATTTTTTTTGTCATCTTAAACTAAAACTACAGCTGATGGTAAGCTTGCTCTAGGACAGGCTTTAGCTTGGGAAACTTCAACAACTATCTGCACTCAAGGACACCATCTATTTCCAGAGGAACATCTATGGAAAGTGAGGTTAATACCTAACTTCAGGTTGCTTGCTATTTTTAACTCAATGCAGAGTCTAGTCAGAGTCAAACAATGCTTCAAATTCTATATAGGTTCATGGATTTCATCCAATATAAAATAAGAGGTTTTGTTCTCTTTTAAAAGAAGAATAGAGAAGTAAACATGACACTTTTTTCTGTTTACAAAAAGTAATGAATGCCCTTATGAAGTCTAATTAACCATTTAGAGTGGTCAGCTGCAGTAAACCTTTTATTTCTTCAAAGTGCTGCTTCCGCCAACAGAATTTCATATTGTCTTCTTTACAGACAGGAACTCCTTTACAGTCCAATTGTAATTCTGTTTGCCCAAGAGCAGGTGCAAAATTCAGTGCGACAAATAGTCCTATCTTCCAGTTTATATGCCAGCACCATTGATAATAATTGACAGTTGTCTTTATTGCCAAATTCTTTCTTATAACATCAAGGATGGAAGTGCAGTAATAATGGTAACTAGTACAGAGGTGACATTTGGCCATGCAGACCCTCATGATTTAGGTGGCAGAACTAGAGGGGCACAAAACTTGGAATTTTCTAGACCAAGAGGTGGGAAGATTTATGCTCGCTTAAAATCATAAGCATCTGCACAATTACTGTGTAACTAAGGCTTCATCTCTACATTACTCTGTATACTTATGTAGATACACTATAAAGGGTCTTCCAAAAGTCCGTGGAAAATACATATGAAAAAACTATGCATGGATTTCCATTTTTTTGGCACCAAAATAAATTCATACTCACTTGTTACAACATGTCTGAATAGAATCTTTGAGGCACTAAGTTTGAAAAGAGCCCCTCCCTATCAGAGCAACATGAATTCTGCTAAAATTGAAGCAAGAACAGATACCAAATTGATGGTGAAGCTCGACTGGAAGAGTGGTGAGATCACTGACGTTTTAAGAGAAGTTTATGGGGACAATGCCCCAGAGAAACCGGCAGTTTACAAGTGGGTAATTCATTTTAAAAAGGGATGAGATGATGTTGAAGACGAAGCAGCAGACCATCTTCATCAATTTGTGAGGAAAAAGTTAATCTTGTTTGTGCCCTAATTGAAGAGGACCAATGACAACAGAAACAATAGCCAACACCATAGACAATTGGTTCAGCTTACACGATTCTGACTGAAAAATTACAGTTGAGCAAACTTTCCACTGGAAGGGTGCCAAAACTTCCCATTCAGTGGGTACACGCAGATCAGATGCTGGCAAGAGCAGAGCCAAGTGGGATCAAGATTTAGAAACATTTCTTTGAAGAACTGTGAAAGGAGCTGAAAATGGCTTTACCAGTATGATCCTGAAGACAGAGCACAATCAAAGCCCTGGCTACCAAGAGGTGCAAGTGGCCCAGTCAAAGCAAAAGCAGATCGGTCAGGAACAAAGGTCATGGCACAATTTTTTGGGATGCTCAAGACATTTTCCTTGTTGACTTTCTGGAGGCCAAAGAATGATCACATCTTATTATGAGAGTGTCTTGAGAAAGCCAAAGATTAAGCAGAAAAACAAAGGAAAGCTTCACCAGGGTCCTCCATCCAGCAATGCTCCTGCTCATTCCTCTCATCAAACAAGGGCAGTTTTGCAAGAGATTCAATGGGAAATCATAGGTATCCATACCTTACAGTCCTGATTTGGCTCCTTCTAACTTTTTTGTTTCCTCATCTTAAAAAATCTTTAAAAGGCACCCATTTTCTTCAATTAATAATGTAAGAAAGACTACATGGACATGGTTAAATTCCCAGGACTCTTGATTCTTTAGGGATGGACTAAATGGCTCGTATCATCACTTACAAGTGTCTTGAACCTGATGGAGCTTATTTGAGAAATAAAGTTTATGTTTTTAATTTTTATCTTTTAATTCCATTTTTCCACAACATTTTTGAAGTCCCCTCATATACGTAATACTTTTAAATTTGCTGTACAACCAACTTTATAAAGTTCACAAATATGGGCTGTTATATGTAAAAACCCAAAGCAAATTAAAAACAGCATGGACAGTCGCTGGACAGTTAGCTGAGTTGGTTAGAGCATAGTGTTATAACACCAAGGTCAAGGATTGAGATTTCCTTACCTCCCAGCAGCCAAAAAATAAAAACCCCCAAAATGGCATGGACAAAAAAAAGCAATATTAACCAAAGGAAGAGAGTCCCAGCTTACTTCTTTAACCCAACATTACTTACCAAATCTATATATTCACCAGTGATGTTCCCATCAAACATTTGGAATTCCCCTCCCTTTTCAGCTTCTAATACAGCAGGAGACTTAGAAAATTCTTGCACCAACTAATCAAGCAAGACATTCAGAGACATGTTATTCCAGTATACACTATTGCCTTTTTAATCTAAAGTACATAATATAACAATTACTATGGTGCGGTCGGTTAGATTTTTGATCCTAGACACAGTTTTTACTTATAGAACATAAAACAAAAGCATTCTCTTCCCAGAGAGAAAATTTAATTCATGCATCCCCTCAATGCTGACATAGTCCCCCAGAATGCAAATCTTTTCCCCCTCAAATTATTAAGAAGCTACCCTCAGACTTTTCCATCACCACCATCCCAGACCCCTTTAATCAAAAACAAGACCATGAGGGAAACCAAAAACCACTCCTGTTATTTGCAGCATGTTTTCTCCCAACGTCAGCATTTAAGATAATAGCTGAGGGAGCTACTTACATCTCTCACGGTAAAGATGCTGTACAGCTGCTCTACACTTGTGTCAAACAGTTCAGTCATGTGCAGAGCCACAGTAGGAATCCTTACACCCAGTGCCACTGGAGATGAGGCCTACCTCGAGAAGAGAAGAGGTTTCAGAGGATAATTAACACCAGGAGATAAAGCTGCTTGCATCTGAAAAGTCAATCTTCTCAGTAAAACACCAAAATGTCCCAGATTCTATTCCTTTCAGACACTCACACATGAAAGCATCATGAAAAGTGTTTTTAGCACTACCAGTCCTGGTCATTACTTTGGAAACAGCTCATTCCTGGTCGTTACTTTGGAAACAGAGCTCATTGTTCCTATGGGCTTTTCTGTTCCCTTCCATTCCCAGGCTATGGCTGAACGCCCCCCATCCTAAGTTAGGCAAATATGGCCCAGAGGTTATAAAGGTGGGCAGAAGAAAGACAACTGCGCTTACAGCTAAAGGGTGTCAATCACACACACACACCTGCTCCCTGACAGCAAGAACAGGATCTAAAACCTCCCAATCCTAAAGTCAGGAGAGAAGGTTCTTCCATTGTGGTATATGAACCTCAATGTCACCTGGTTTTCTAATCTGTTGCCTACCAAAGAACACTGCCTTTAGAACAGTCTTGAATTAAATTCGGTTTCACACAAAAAGGTCTCATTTTATCATTTCCACAACAAAATGGCAGATTTTTTTTTTCTTCTTTTGTCTTTTTCCGTGTCCGGCAACGGATCGCAACCCTCAGTGTTG